TCCTGCATATTCTGCGTCCTCCCTAGAGCCCCTAGCCGCGGCTTCTTGCTGTGTCATCTTGGGCTCTGCCTCCCCTGTTTCTGTCTGCAGAACAGGCCTGCCTTCAGAGCTTTTATGATGCTTTAAGATGGTCGGGGCAACAGCTGGAGATGGGGGTAGCCTGCTTCTCTCAGAGCAGCCAGTTCTCTGCAGTCCCCACTGCTCCCTATTGCCTCATGCCCACCTCTGCTCTCATTTCCTCAACTCGCCAGGCACCTCGAGGCATGTGAGTTTCAGATCCCCCTTTTCAGACTTTGGGTTTTGAGAGTCAACCCTTGCTTTAAAAAGTTTATTCTGATGATACCTATATAGTTTAGAAAATCTGAAAAATGCAGGAAAACAAAATAAATAGCCTATATTTTCACTTCAAAAATACTGTGAATATTGTTTGTGTATTTTTTCCTGTCTTCTTTCTGTGCAGTCTCTTCTTGTAAATGTCTTTATATAGAGCATCTACTGTGCCCCCAGTTGTGTTCAAGAACACGGCCGAGCCCTGGCGGGCTCCCTGGGACTGCAGAGACGGATAGACCCTGGTCCAGCCCTGGTGTGTGGGAACCACACGATGGACCGCAGCTGGCTGGTTGCCAGAAGGAGTCTGGTCTTGGTTTCTGTGTCAAGTGGCGCAGAACGGGGCTGCCTGTTGTCCCCGAAGTCCATCAGAGTCTGGTTCCCAGCGGAAGGAAGGACCATGAGCAGCAGGAGTGCTGCCAGCTTGCGTCCCAGCACCGGGGTCCCTTTCCTGCCTTAGAGTGGTGCTGTCCCGGCGCCGTTGCCCGCGCTCTCCTGTGGGGTGATGGCCATGCAAGCATCCGGGGACATTCTCATGCACACGTGGGGTCCCGGGAGCATGAACCCTGGCACGCGTGCTCTATGCTATGACCACCCAGAGCCAGGCTGCTGCCTCAGTAGCGGATGCCCTGGCCCAGGACCCACCGCTGCTTGCAGAGCTTTCCTGATTTTGCGGGCTTCGGGTTCTGGTGAAGGGGCGGGTGGAGGGGCATTGGGTGGGGAGTTCCTGAGCCTGGTGGGAGGTGGGAGCCTCTGGGCTCGCGGGCGCTTAGCTGCAGGGGATGCAGGTCCCTCTGCTAAACACAGTGGGACTGTTGTGACAGTCTCCACACTACATGACACCCCAGCCCTTTGGGAGACCCCACCCTGGTAAAGGTGGGTTTTAGCAGCACGTGGAGATCACCGTGGGGCAGGGGGCGTCTCATCCAGTTGTGAGGCTTGAGGAGCTGTGCGGTACCTGACCGGCACACATATCCGGCTAGGAGCTAACGGGCAGTTATTTCAGAGTGAAATAAAGTAGTTCTGTCTCAGCTTATGTCTTTGGCTTTGAAACGGCTACTAAGTTATTAGCATATACATACTTGTTAGGTGTTTTGGAGACCCCAAGGGCTCTGTGATATGAGAGACCCGGAAACCTCTGGTTTAGATGGTTTAATTTTCTGCCTCTGAAAATTAACGTCGTTCTCTGGAGGAGTGGACACAGGTGTATGTGGGTTGGCAGTTCCCTCTGCACAGGAGGACACCAGAGGGGCCTGGATATGGGGGTGGGGTGGGGAGTAGGGAGCAGGGGTGGCGGCCCCAGGGTTCTTGTCCACCAGGCACTGATAGGCAGTGTTTCTTCTCCACAGGGGAATTGGGTTGTGATTTTTATCTGCACTTAGCGGTGCCGATCAGCTGAGGAAGTTTAGCTGGGTCTGAGAAGCCATGGGACATGGATTTGTCTGCGGGTCCACACAGAGCCGTGCTGAATATGTTCGGAGCTGGAGCATGCTGACCCCGTGTAGCTGGTGACAGCCCTCTACACCTGGGGGCCCTGTGTCCACAGCGAGGAAGAGCTCAGCCTTCCAGAGGTTAGACATCAGGCTATGTGGAAAGCATTTAGGTAGCATGTGTTAAAATTAAAAGTCCATCTGTCTTCCGGCCCAGCCATGGCAACAGAATAAAGTGCCATGGATGAAGCTGGGTGCACAGGGAGGGCACCATTATCCCCAAAGTAGAGCAAAGGGACTGCCCGTCTGCCAGAGATGGCCAAGCACATTACAGTCACCTGCACCTGGAACATTAAGCAGGTGGGGCGGGAGATTCCTGAGGGATTTGTGGAAGATATTGAGTGAGAAAATCAAGATGCACGATGTGTGAAACAAGATCCCACTTGGTGAAGCAAACTAACCAAAACCCGCTATCTATACATATGTATCGCTGTCCATATGTATTATCAAGGAAAAACAGATGTTTTTATGTAATTGAAGGTGTATTTACCGTGCAAAGAAGGCGGAACGGGATCACAAGCAGCTCAGGTGTGGATGTCGTGGCATTGGCACACAACAACCACGTATTATGCTCAGCGAGTCTGGGGGTCAGGCTCTGCGGAAAGGCTCAGCTGGGCAGTTTGCACTTGCTGTCAGATGTCAGCTGGGGCCCCGCGCATCTGAAGGCTCGCCGGTGGAGCACCCACATTCCAAGGTGGTGCTGGCTGTTGGCTGTGGGCTTTGGCTGCTTTCTAAGTGGGCTCATCCGTGGGACCACTTGAGTGTCTTCCCGGCGACATCTAGGGCAGCCCCAGATGAACTGTGGTAACAGGAGAGCAGCCACAGATAATCGTGAGTGAGTGTGTGTGGCTGTGTTCCATTTATAAAAACAGGCTGAGGGCCAGATTTGGCTCCTGGGCTGTAGTTTGCTGACATATGGCTTTGAGAGCCATGCTTAATACTTTGCTTTTCCTCTGAGAGCCCTTGGAGGCTCTTGAGCAGAGAAATCACCAGCATGGCTCAGTTTTGACAGGGCTGTTCTGGCTGTTGTGTGGAGGACAGAGGGAGGGTTCCAGAGGGTAGCCAGAGCCCAAAGAGGAGGCTTGTGACATGGCTTGGGGGACCAGGGTGCTGGTGTTGGGGCTGAGAGGGATTACATGTGCTTCGAAGTTAGACGCAGATTGTTTGATTGATTAATTCACTTAGAGAGAAACACCAATCAAGATGCTTCATTAGCACTTGGCCCTGTGTGGCCATCCTGACCTGGGGCCAAGGAGCTCTGTGGTGGGGGGGACGTGAGGGGTGAGTTGGCTGCTCTGGAGTGCGGTGGGGCGGCTGTGGCTGGAGATGGAGTGAGCGCCTTTCGTAGGAGTGGAGGCCAGTTCCACCCAAAAGGGAGGGCGAGTATGTGTGTGGGGAGGGGGCCCAGGGCCAGGAAGCCTGAGCGCTGAGCACTGGCCTCAGCACAGGAAGCTGCCTGTGGGTTTTGGTAGAGTGTGTGGGAATATGTAGGGGCCAGGAAGCAGGGTGGCCCTGTGCAGTGCAGTGGTAGGGCTCTCAGCGTGGACAGGCCACAGATGACGCTCCCCGATGCTTGGGCACTTCTCTGTAAAAACAAAGATGTAAACACGGAAATACAAATGTTGTAGGTTTTTCGATTCAAGCTGGTGACTCACGTTCTGCAACTGCTGGTCAGTGTTCTGTTTCAGTAAAACTGCAGATCCAGCATTTTCCCCCAACTTCTGAAGATGTTCTAATGTGTATAAAGTTAGAAAAGTTGAAAAAACAGTTCAACTAACACCCATACCCCCACTACCCAGATTCAACCCTCAGCTTTTGCGCCAGGGTGCACCTGAAGCCTGACGTTGGCTCCACTATAAATCTTTCTCACGTCCTTCTCTGGCTGCCTTTGAGTCTCTGCCCAAACGCATGTGATGGTGGCTGGCAGAGCCAAAACGCATAGCAAACTCTGAGTAAATCGTCTTTGCCTGTTCTCATTTGGGTGGTCTTTGTTTATTTCCACAATGGGATTATAATTTCCTTCTCGGTGAAAGCTGTTAAGTAAATCTACCTTCTAAAACCAGAGAAGGGGTGCCTGGGTGGCTCAGTCAGTTAAGTGTTTGCCTTTGGTTCAGGTCATGATCCTGGGATCCTGGGATTGGGCCCCGCATCGGGCTCCCTGCTCAGCAGGAAGCCTGCTTCTCCCTCTCCCTCTGCCTGCCATTCCCCCTGCTTGTGCTCGCTCTCTCTCTCTCTGTCAAATAAATACATAAAATCTTAAAAAAATGGAATAAAACCGGAGAAGAAATGAAGGCACCCGGATTGGACCCAGAGGGTTGGGAGATGAGCAGGTGTTGTGAATGGAGTGGGGGGAGAGGGGCATGGTTTGGGGCTGGCAGTGCTGGAGGGAGCTGGGCCAGTGAAGCTGTGCTCTGTGGACCCTTCACTTGCCCGCGCACCAGCCCCATCCCAACGTCCAGAGCAAACCCCAGGCTGCGTGGGCACTGTCTCAGTCTGCTCGGCCGCCAGAACAAATACCACAGATTGGGCAGCTTAAACAACAGAAATTTATTTTTCATAATTCTGGAGGCCAGAAGTCCAAGATCAAGTGTTGGCAGGGTTGTTTCTTCTGAGGCCTCTCTCCTTGGCTTGTAGATGGCCACCTTCTGAGTGTATTCTCATTTGGTCTTTTCTCTGTGGTGACACATCCCTGGTGTCACCTCCTCCTCCTCTTCCCTCTTCTTCTTCCTTCTCTCCTTCTTCCTCTCCTTCTCCTCCTCCTCCTTCTTCTTTTTAGAGATGGGGAGATGCGGGGGGAGCAGAGAGAGAGAAGGAGAGAGAGAATCTTAAGCAGGCTCCATGCCCAGCTCAGAGCCCAATGGGGGCTTAGATCTCACAACCCTGAGATCATGGCCTGAGCCAAAATCAAGAGTCAGACACTTAGCCAACTGAGCCACCCAGGCACTCCGTGTCACCTCCTCTTCTTGTAAGAACACCAGTCCTCCTGGATTAGGGCCCCACCCTTATGACCTCATTTGACCTTAAACTACCTCTGTGAAGGCCCTATTTCCAAATACAGTCACTTGGGAGTTAGGGTTTCTACATATGAATTTGGAGGGGCACATAATTCAGTCTATAATAGGCACCAAAGGTGGAGAGCTGCCTCCTGTTAGAGGTGAGGCTGGGGGACACCTGCCCCAAGGTATCCATGAGCAATCCCCGTTCTGAGGACTTACCACTCATTGGTTTATTCTCTCCCTCACCTTTGGGAACAGCTTGTCGCACCGCCTGGAGTGGCCACTCTCTCTCTCTGGTCCTGAGTGGAGGTGACATGATAGAACATGTGTTCTCACTTTAAGTCCATGGTGGGCTTCCTGGTGACGTTGAGCACTGAGGTTGTGTGCATATTTTGTGGGGATGCACGTCTGTGCCTTTTGCATTTTCCAGGGAGAAGATCAACAGCTTTCACTTGATTCTCTGAGTTCAAAAGATGATAGAGACCATTGTTCCAGGTGCCAGGGGAGCTAGGCCTAGATCTGGTGGCCCCACACCAAGTTCTGAAGGGAGCACGACTGTGCACGGGGTCCATCAACATGCTGTATGGCTGAACAGAATCCCTCCTTGCCCGCAGTACAGAGATGTCAGGAACATGCCTGCGTATTGGCCCTTTGAAGTCCATCATCTGTCTTATTTTTTCCTCCCAATAATCTGGGCACCAGGCAGTTATTATTTCTAATAGACTCACAGTTCACAGGAGGAAACTGAGGCTCACATAATTGGCCCGAAGTCTTTCCTCTGGGAGCCAAGACCTTCGGGTTCCTGACCTGGGTGCTCCACTGCTCCCCACTGCATATACTCTCTAAATAAGCTATTTTGTTTGGCCGGCTGGCAGGCTTTGCCTGTATTTCAAAGCACGTGTTAGAACTTAAGAGTTCAATTCTACTTCATATAACTTGTGAAGTATTGGTCCATTTCTCACCAGAGGCCAAAGCGCAGCTGTTTAGATCATAATGCTCACACTTTCAAGCCAAGAATAAAGCACGGATTTCAAGCACCAATTTTCACAACCTTGACAGCCCATGGAGACACCCCCTGGTGAGATTTACATCCTGTTTGAAAAACAGGGTGCCTGGGCCTCCCACTCAGGCCTAAACTGAATCATGGGCATTCCCACTGTTATAAGCTTACTATGTGACTCTGATGGATGATGAGGATGAAGACTTGCTGATTTAGAGAAATTCTGAAACTAAAGTGAAAGCAGACGAATAATTAGTGGGTTTGCTAATTGATCTTTATGTATCGGTCAAAAGAGGCTTTTGCAAGACAGAAGTGCGTTTTTGTCTCATATAAAGGAAGTCTGGAAGTAGATAGTTTTAGGGCTAGTTGGTGTCCTCATGATGTCCCAGGCTCCTTTATCATGTGGCTTCCATTCCCAAGACCACCTCATTGTCTAATATGGATGCTAGTGCACCAACCATCACATATGTGCTCCAGGCAGCAGGACAGGAAAAAGAAAGGTGAAGAGCATGCCCTATCCCTTTTAAAGAGGCTTCCTGGAAGTATTATATATCATTCATGCTTATATTTATTTGGACAAAAAGACCCAAAATACTAGCCAAAAGAAACAAAAAATTAATAATTTAGGTTTTATTAAAATTGAGAACTTCTTTTCATCAAAAGAGTTCATCAAGAGAATAAACAGCCAAGCCAAAGACTGGGAGAAGACATTCAGAAAACATACATCTGACAAAGGATTTCTATCAAGAATATATAAAGAGTTCCTATAAATTAATAAGAAAACGACAAACAACCCAATTTTTAAAAAATGAGCGAAAGACACATTTCACAAAAGAAGATATCCAGATGGCCCATAAGCATATGAAAAGATACTTAACATCATCAGTTATCTGGGTAATAAAAATTAAAAACCACCTGAGATGCCTTTATTTAACCAGTAGAATGACTAAAATGGAACAGATTGATGAACAAAGGTTGGCCAGGTTAGGGAACAATGGGAAACAGCATGTGATGGTAAATTAGTTCAAACACTTTGAAACAGGGCAAATTTATTATAAAGTCAAAATGTCCTTTTATATGGCCCAGAAATTCTACTCTTTGGTATTTACCCAAGAGAAATTAAAACATAAACAACTTAATAACAACTATTTTATAAATAGCTAAAAATTTGAAACAGCCCAATGTCCAACAACAGCAGAGTGGGTAAAGAGATTACGGAACATTCAAATGTCACCGATATAAAAAAGAACAAAGGTCCTTTGCTGTGGGCCATGCTGTCATCATTTAGCACAGCTAAAAGGCTCTGGGCCTGGCTGGGATCTTGCAGCAGCACCTTGGTGGGTATAGTTGGGAGTAGAGGGAGCTCAGAGCTGGAGAGGGCTCAGCCTGCCACAGCCACCATCTCCTCCTGGGACGGACTCAACCGGCCAGTGTCTGCAAAGAGTTGCATGTAACACATATGACATATAACTTATAGCATGCAACACATATAACAAGTAACACACACAGTGTAAGATACGCATAGCACGTGACATATAGCGTGTGCACATGTATAGTATGTAACAGTGAATAATATCACAGCCCGTAACGTACATAGCATATAGTATGTATAGCATGGGACACATAAGAGAGTACGTGCTATATGCTACACACGGTATATAACACGCATCACATACAATACACATAGCATTCCACATACACAACATATGGCGCACGGAGCATGTGACACATACTATGCAGGCATTTATAGCACATAATGTACATTGCATCTAACATGTATGCATCATACGCACAGCAAGTAACACGTAGCACATAACGCATAGCATATAACACATAGAACATGTACCAGATCTAGCACTGCACGTGCATAGCATAGACTCCATGGCTGTGGCTCGCCCTTCCATGAGGGACATCTGCCCTGGCTGGGCTGGCCAGGGAGTAGCTTTTTCTAGTGGGCATAACCAGGCTTGTTTTGCCCCACCTGTTACCCTCTACCCTTTCTTTCCTTCCTGAGATGTGGCCTGAATAAGCTGGGATGGAGACGAAACTTTTGAAACATGGCTATGAGCAGAATGGTCCCAGAGGCTCTTTCTGGACTAGCACGTGGAGGTCAGTGTTGGCAGCACCAGACCTCTGGCTGCCCTGCAGGCCTGACCCCCAGGCTGAGTGTGTGAGGTGGGCTGGCTTTCCTCCCCTTCGCCCCGTTGGGGCCCCATCAAGGGAGAGACAACATGGAAGGAGGGTTTCTGGCTGCCCTGGACTCAGGGTCTTCAGGTTTGTGTTCCCCAGAAGCAGACCTGGATCAGGGATTCAACTGCAAGCAGTGGCTCCGGGAGGTGATCCCAGGAAGCTCCAGTATGTGAATGGGGAAGTGAGGGAGGGCCTGTAGAGGTCACTGCCCCTGGGACCCCAGGACGTCTGTCCCTTCCTTCTCCTGCTAGAGACGCCGTGTCACAGGCAAGTAGCAGCTGCTGGCTGCTTGCTTCTGAAGTCGAATCTGACGGTCCTTTTATAGCAGAAACGCAAGCTCAGTGAAATAAGAGTCTGCCCCAAAGCTGCTAAGTAGAGGAGCTGGAGCTCTGGTTTCTG